TGTGTTGAGCCATGCAATATAAGAGGGTCCGACATCACGAAAGTACTGTAAATACCGTGTATAACGGCTCTTGTGGGGATATTGTTCGGGTGTCTGTGTAACAGTGTCGTCGTCATGCCCCCGCCCCCACCCCCATAACACACACCTACAACTACTACGATTACTACTGCTACTACTATTGAGTCGTGCAGAACATAGTATATGCCTGACAGAAGGATTCTTGCATTGAGGCCAGGGAGGCCAAGAGCCTGGGACCCACCAGGCGCAGTCGCAGTGTGTCACGGGCTGCGCAAAGCCGGGACAACTCCGAAACTCATAAAACCGTTCTGTTCATGGTTGGCAGGCCGTCACCCAGTCCCTTAAAGGCAGCACCATCTGAGGCTCGTGGACTCTGTTTGTTCTTCAGTGGTTTACAGACTATGCAATCTTTGGTTTGAAATGCAGTGTATTGTGACCGGCCTTCCGCATGCCCACGACAAGTTCTTGAGGATGTGCGTGTGGCCAAGTCGCCCAAGCGTTCCGGAATGCAGGACTCCGAAGCTCTTCTTGCCTTGCATGATTTAGCAAAATTTCCCTGCAGACGCTCTGAAAAAATGCAGCACGCAGCACGCCCCCTGGCCCCTTTCCCTGGGCATTGGAACCTCTAGTGCCAGCATCTCTGAGGTCTCTGAGGCTCGGCGGTAGTTGGACTTGCGTTTGAGAACTGTGAGCTCTTTCGATGAGCTTGGCCATGAAGGCGGCTCCAGCAGAGCGGTGATGGCACGATGCAAGTTCAAGCAACCACAGATAGCAGTGAAGTGGCCTCCAACCGCACGTAGCAAGGGCCAGGGGTAAAAATCGCCGGCATAAACGCGGCATTTCGCAAGCAATCCCTGTTTTGGCTCTGATGGACACTTGCCACTTGCTACTGTAGCGGTGAAAGCATTTTGTCGGAATGTTCAGCATGGAATCTGCATTTCTGCTCGCGGCGGGCACCCCCCTGCCGCATATACCTACCTAATCTCTCCATACCAGGCCTAAAGGTCCCGGTGTTTGGGGAAGAGGGCAGTCTGAACAGGCTCGGAAAGGAATATATAGGACATTAGCATTCTTGACACCGCCTAACCTGCGAGCCAGTTCTCGCGCACGAAATTGGTTTAATGATGCCCCATGTACAAGGCTTTGGATTTGACCCCACGCTGACTGCAGCGTTTCCTCCGTCGTCCCCGATTTTCGTGGAGGAGTTACGAGTCACCCGGTGTACTCACAAGTGTGGCCAGAAATTTCGCCCGGCTACTACTTGTCGCAAGCACCCTCCTAAGCATCCTGAAGCAGTCTGATACCGTGTTTCGGCACTCCTTGGCCAGGAAGCTCCCCTGCTCAAGCGCGGCAGGGAGCCGCGGGTCCGGGAGGTCCCAGCCCGACAGAACCTGCGATGGGCTGCACTTCTGCCGTTTGGGTACTCGCAAACCTGCCGAGTTCGACGGAAAGATGTGGGCTCGAACGGATGACGCGGTCCTGACAGGGTGCCTGGCACAGGTTCGAGCGAATGGTCACCCATTCATAGCACGAAGAATTAGGATTCCCTCGACTGGGAGTTTCTGAGGCAGAGAGTCCGACACTTGATGCTGGAGAGCCTGGCAGCGTCAGTGTCTCAGCACAGACTGCAATGAGCGCTGATTTTCCGCCCCTCGGATCGTATCCGGAGGCGTCAGCAAACACGGATGTACAAAGAGATGATCCAGGACGCCACTTGTAAGGTGTAGGTTTGGGAATCGACACAGGGGAAGCTTACAAGATTCGGTCTCCCTCGTTTGAGGAATTCGATGCGAGTGAGGTGGGTCAGAAGGCTTCGCAGCAGCGTTCCCCTGAATTCCCACTGCATGCCTGACGCACAGCCTGGCGAAGGCAAAGCTTTCGAGTGCCAAGGTGCTTATCCTCAGAGCCTCAGATGTCAGAAGACGAGTACGCTTCAAGTTGTGCCGAGTGCCAAGGCTGCCTTGCAGTCCCTCAACAGCTCACTGCGTGGCCAGGCCAGTGATCAGAAGAGAAGCTGAGGCTGAGTTTGGCTGCAACGCGCGAGGTTGAGCAAGCGCGGCGAGAGCTTGAGCAACTGGAGAAGGCAACGCCAGGCTTCCCGTCGTCGCATCGCCCATGAGCCCAGCTGTCGAGGCCAGGCAGGCAGGCCCGGTGCCGCCGGCCCCCCAAAACTTGGTCCCAAACAGGTCCCAACACCGGTAGTTCCCCCGTGCTCAGGCAGACCTGAGCTCGCGGTGCTTGGCCTGGAAGGCTCGGCTGCAGTGCGGAGGTCTCGTGTGTGCAGCTGCTCAGCTCAACGGTTTTTTTGGTTCGGTGTGAGGCTGTGAATCTTGTCTCAAGTTGATCTTCCCGGAATTCGACCTCCTGGCAGAGCTTTGCAAGATCAGCCTGCTTAAGAGCAAATCAGTCAAAGACTGGCTGACACGGTTGGTATCACACTGCTCATGTGAATGTGTCACCTTTCCGCAAGTTTTCTGGCGAAGCCACGTTTTGCGGGCCCTGCGACGGTGGCAAACTCGAAGCGGAACGCGGACGGCACCAGGCATCTTTGTTTAGGCATGCCATCGGGCGGGTTCTTGATGTCGCGTTCGTTGAAGCAGCTGTTCAAGCAAAGGTTGAACGTTGGTGTCCGTTTTTCGGCTTTTTACCCAAGCCCCTTGCAAGTCGCAAGAAGCCGCGTGCCTTTCATGCATCATATACAAGGAGAAGGACAGTGTACGGAAGCATGATTGCATGCGGGACCTTCGATCAGCAGTGCTGCAGAAAATAATGTGCGAATGCTGATGTCGCCTGTTGGGAAATGGGCTGTGAATTATGCATTCTGCTTCCTTGGCCATGGTCGCAACTTGCCTTTTCTGAAGGAGAGGACAAGTAGTCGCCCAAATTCTGCTGGATTTCAGCTCGGTGATCACATGCAATGAAGACATGCCCACCTGCCTGAGAGTCCATCAACCCGCAGAATACTTCGGCGCATCCTATCCGGGCCATGGCTGCCTTAGCGTGGCTGCTGTTTTCCTTGGCCGCTGGGGCAGCTGACGCGCGACACCTGCGCGGCCTGCGCGGCCTCAGCGAGGACATGCGAGGACTTCGGCACAAATGCTGCGGGAAGATGTGGCGAAAGCGGCTAGCTACATGTTCAAGACCTTCGAAATAGAAGGGAATCAAGGGCACGGCGAGTGGTGCTCACCTGGTGCAGGAGCTCCTTTCCAACAAGGAGCTCACAGAGCAGATCATGCTCCAATCCCACAGAGAACGGCTTGGTACAATCGGGCCGCCTGAATGATATCCAGATGAAGGCCGCCTGCGTCGGGAAGGGGACGCACGTCTCCACCTTCGGTACGACCTGCGGCTGTCAAGCTTCGGCTACAAGGAGACGGGCAACGCATGTGGAGAATCAGTTCTTGGGGCTGTCGAACGTGACCCCCATTTTTCAGAAATGACTGCCATTCATTTCTGAAAAATGGGGGTCACGTGATTGCGAGGGTTTGGGGTGAGGCCCGAAGCTACGAGTATGGCCATATCGCAGTGATCGATGACTGTTCTGCCTCCGCCAAGCCAAGATCCACCCAACTTCCGAGTTTCACACTGTGCACAATGTCCGAGCTGTCTGAGTTTAAAGGTGGCCAACGGTAGTTACCTTGCCCGCCCGAGATTGTACTTTCAGTTCGACAAGCTGCAGTGCAGGTGCACAGGCACAGCAGCAGCAGGTGAGTCGATGTTAGTAGCTAGACTCTAGATGGGATTGGCACTGGTGACCTCGAACTCTACTGACATGTCAGGCAGCAACTTCAGCCAAGCTGGCGTTTGGCCAAACCACGGAACGATGAATCCCTGCCGTCGTCCACCAGTTGAATCGAGTTGAAGGTTGCATGAGGGTAGGTTGATGTCACTTGCAATGAAGACATGCCCACCTGCCTGAGAGTCCATCAACCCGCAGAATACTTCGGCGCATCCTATCCGGGCCATGGCTGCCTTAGCGTGGCTGCTGTTTTCCTTGGCCGCTGGGGC